TGAGCTATACATAACCATAAAGAAAAGGACAATCAAAATACAACTAAATTATGTACAAAGCACAATCCCAAAGACAAAAACCCTCAATGAAATTCACAATCACTTGCAAAGAGGTTGTGTGTGTGTATGTGCGCGCACGCCTTATGGCACGGTCAATAATTTTTCGTCAAATTTATTGTCTCTCGCTGTAAAATCTATCAATTATGACCCACTTTGATTTAAAATATCAAATTTAGTAAATAATAATTTGAATCTGAATACATAAAGATATCCAGTTAAACTAACCTAGAACAATGAAACTCTCAACAACCAATCAGAGAATTCTAAGAAAATACAAAGACTTTTGCTAATGAGATTAATTAAAGCTTGAATAGTATGATAATACAAATTCAAACCAATTAACTCATGAATTTAAAAATCAATTACTAAACCAAACCAAGCCTTAAATCCCATCAATTAATTTAAAAAATTAACTCATGAATTCTATAATTTTGTTAAGAGCCTATTCGTTGAAATAGAAAAATGAAATGTGGTTTAGATTTAACTAAGACAAAATATACAAATAAAAAATAAAAAAATAAACATAACAAAGAAAATCCATGAGCATCAAATCATCCATCTTGTTGTGCCCTTCGGTCAACATTCACTTATCCACATGCAGGAAAAATAAAAACTCTCCCACATACAGGTACAAATCTAGTAGTCCATGCCTAAACTGATGACCATGACAAATTTGGTAAAAAAATTCTTATTTTTTGATGACTTGACAAATCTCGTAGTCCATGGCGTAACTCAGATTACACCTAATCCTACATTCCTAAACATGTATCAATGTCAGCATTAAGAAAAGCATAACAATAGAAAGGATAAGAAACTAAGTGAATATTAAATTAAACTGAGTGAATATTGTTGTGTGTCCTATACATGGCAAGATGATATATTGAGTGAATATTTATATACAAATTAAACAACATAGAAATTAAAGCTCTATTTCTTTCTCTAAAAAAAAGGCCTCGTCAATTATCCAAAACTGCCATGTTATCCAAATTATATTTTACAACATCGGAGATGGGGAAAGTTTCTGTTTGTGAACATTAATTTATCCAGAAATTTAGTTCTAAGTTCTGTCCTTGTTTTTATATTAAGCATTTAAGAAATGGGGGAAAAAAATACTATAACTGAGGGTTCTTCGAAAAAGAAAGTAGTGTAAAACATTGCCTCTAGATTCACATACTACTCATCTCCCGTTCCTTCACCTTGTTGGTGGTATTAATGAAATGTCCAGATTCTTTTTGTCTTATAGTTAAATCCCTAGTTTATGTGACATATATAGTTCTATTGTTCTTGCACCATGTTGTAAGATGCTAAATGCTAACACATTCTACTTAAAAATCCACTAACATAGTGACGCATGATTCAAGTAAGATCAGACTTAATGGTTCCAGCTCAATCATTAACTGACAGTAAGAGGTAAATCTAGGAAATAGCTATGTTTATAAATTTTTAATTGACATTTTTTCTTACTGAATTGGAAAAAAATAAAAAATATATCAAACTCCTACAAACCATTACCTTGAATAGAGATGGTCATAAGCAGTAAATTTCTGGAATACTAAAATATCCTAAATGGAAATGCCCCAAAATAACCTCATTACCACCCAATAATTAGTAAGTCACACACCTCTATAATAGAACCATGACCAATAGTACGAAAGAGATTGTTCAACAAAATGTTGTAGGTAATACGTAATTGGAAGCTAAAGATCATTCAAACTACAAACATGGTTTGAGCAGAAAACTATAAGATGATGCACTACATGTCCAATACAAAGAAGGTTCAAGCCAGTGTGAAAAAACTGAGGTTGTTCATCCATTATCATCCAATTATTCAGGAAGGCACTAAGATTTGAGCACTATGACAACTTCATTTCATACTTACAATGAAATAAATTGTAGAGAAGGCAGCAATTGTCCAATATCTTCCCGAATATGCATCTGCCAAGACTGCTCCAATAAGGGGTGTTAGGTAGCAAGTGCCTGACCAAGTGGTAACATTTCTTGCAGCAGAGACATTTCCTTCGTGTAATTTTGTGGTGAGATAAGTGACAAGATTTGTAGCAATCCCATAATAAGCTAAGCGTTCACAGCATTCAGTACCTGTTTTTTTATATTCAACGAAGTTTGAAGAAAAAAGATGGAATATCAAAAACATTAAGAATTATAGACATTGTTGAAGTAGTAACTACCAAGAATGAACCATCTCCTGTGTAAAGTCCAATTCCCAATGTTGCTCTTCAACACAGGTTCCCCCGTAATGTTCACTGAACTATCTCCTGTGTAAAGTCCACTGTTTTCTTTCTGAAGACATAAAATGGGTAGTTAGGCAGAGAGCAGAAACCTTACTGAGTAAAAATATTGGTGTGTGAATAGGTGGGTGGGTGGGTAGCATGTTCTGGCACCAAACAGTCTCCATATTTAGGTAGTTCCTCTGGCCTATTATTAAGCTTTTTACGACCTTTTAAGAGTTGACAGTAATAGTTGCAAAAAGAAAACTCTCAAGAATCATCTAAATCAATATGTAATGACAAAGTGAGGAAACACAAATCATTAATTTTTCAGTGAGAATAAGCCAATTTGATAGCTTATTAACATTTATATTTTCCCTTTTGTTTAGATATTCTCAGAAGATAAGAGATAAGATTGGTTTGCTCACCTTTAGATTCTTCCTTTTGTAGTGGCTCCATTCGGTCGTCATCAATATTGAAGGGCGTTTGGGGCTGCCACTGTTGACGAAGAGGGATGGCAGAGACAGAGAGGGAGGAAGAGAGAAGATGAAGAGAGTAATAGGGGGTTCGGGGTTAGGTCTCCGGCAAGGGTTGGGTCTCCGACAAAGGAATGGGCTCCGATGGAGAGAGAGAGAGAGAGAGAGAGAGAGAGAGAGGTGTGTGTTCAAAATTTGAAAATTGAAAGAGAGATTTTGAGCAGAGAAAAGTACGTATGAGAGAGAGATTTTCAACCACATTAGATCTTGAGCTGAGGTGAGAGACATTTTGGACCATTAGATGGTGATGGTAATTGATCTCAATCATTGAAATGTTCAAATAGGACAAATGAGAGTAAGACATTTTCAACCATTGGATTGAAACAATCTAATGATCCAAATTTTGACAAATATATATTTTCAGCTCTTAAATTCAAACTCACCTTTCCATTGTTATATAGATGTATATATTCCCTAATATATATATATATATTAACTAGATTTAAAGTCCTAAGTCAGAGTTATTTCAAAAAATCAGTAAATATTTATTTCATTGTTAATTTCAAAGATTTAAGATTCATCGAGATGTAGTGATGATGACACCTAATCAGAAAAAAGAAAGGAAAAAAAAGAACTAGATGCTCTAATGATTTTATTGCGTCATAATTCACATGATAAATGATGTCAGTAACAAAAGGCCATATACGTGCACAGAAATTTACATAAAATATACATAATAGGTGCGTCCATCAATGGTTCCATTGCATCCTCTAACTCTCTCTGATGTAATTGGGTCTGTGAAGAAAAATTGTGCATGCCGGAACTTGGAGGAGAAAATATGTGCACACAATTTTTATTTTTATTTTTTCAGAGAACCAAAAGCAGAAGAAAAATGATATATTACCAAAAAATTTGATATAGAAATTATATTTAAAATGATGTGGTCAGTAGTAGTAAATTATATCCATAATAATAAACACAAATTATTTTGTATATTAATTATATATATATATATATTATTTATATAGTACTTTCGTAACAAAATGAGAAAGCTAAATGCAAAATTTTTAAAAAATGTTATAAACAAAAAGTGACCTCAAATGTAAGAGAAGTTATTCAATATTCTAAAGTAACAGTCAGGTAGTGTCCCAAATCAAATATAATTGGTGAAAAGATAAGATTCGTAAATTTTTGTTAATAATAGAAATAACAAAACATATGATAATTGGTGATTGGTTAGGAATGAGAACACGATGTCCTTAGAGCAACCAATAATTTTCCCACATGTAGACTCCAGATCTTACACATTATATATGTCACATTCGTATCTCAAAACTTTTGTGTTGTTCGCATAGTAGGTACAAAATAGACACAAAGGGACCCCTTAGTAAACTCAGGTTTTGCGGCAAGATTATGGAGAAAAAATTCAATAAAACTATGATACCACGTTATCATGTATAGATGGTACCATCAATTAATAAGATTTTATCGTTTGTCACTACGCCAAATTTTGCCTTTAACGGCGGTTTGTAACCGTCGTTAATAACCATGCAACCGTCACAAAAACTTTTAACGGCGGTAAGACGACAAAAAGTGTAACCATCGTCTATACAAGTGTCGGAAATAATTTAACGGCGGTTATTTTACTGCCATTATTAATAACGGCGGTATTCATGGCGGTTATTAACCGCCACATAAAAAATCGACGATCTTGAAAATTGGAGGCGGTTTGTAGAATCGTCGTAAATGTCATGCCTTTAACGACGGTATTATACAGTAAAAAATGGCAGTTATTTACTGCCGCAAAAGACTAGAAACATTAACGGCAGTTATTTACCGCCGTTAAATAATTTTCAAAATTAAATATAATTTTCTTTTAGCGACAAAATTAAACCGTCGTTAATTATGAACCATATTTGTTACGACAGTATTTTTAGAATAAAAAATAGCAGTTTTTTACTGCCGCAAAAGATTACAATAATTAGCGGCATTTATTTACCGCTGTTAAATATATTTCAAAATAAATATGATTTTCTTTTAGTGGCAAAATTAAACCGCCGAAAATTATAAATCATTTGTTAAGCTAACTTTGTTTATACATTTATATTCAATACCTGCTAGTGTACTCAATGAAAATCATTCAATAGAAGTATATAACGTAATAAAGCTTCCATACATTCAATATAACAATATATAAGCTGCCACAATACAATTTATAACCATACAAATCCACACACCATATTCAATTAACAAAATCTATTTCAAAATACATGTCACATGTAGCAAAGTTCCAAATACATGTCACTTGTAGCAATTAGTTCCAAAATACATGTCACTTGTAGCAATTAGTTCCAAATATTTGTCTCAAAATATATAGTATCAAAATAAAAGTCCCAAGACATTTGCATTTACATGGTCCACCTAACTCCCCTAATCTGCAAAATGCTGCAACTAATTCCAAAATATTGTCTCAAAACACAAGTGCCAAAATAAAAAGTCCCAAAAAGCATGTACATCATCTATGTGTTCTATCTAGCTCCTTTTAAACCTGCAAATGTAGCAATTAGTTGCAAAATATGTCTCAAAACACAAGTGCCAAAATAAAAGTTCCAAAAAGTATGTCCTTTATCTACATGGTCTATCTAATTCCCCTCAATTTGCAAAGTCTGCAAATGGATCCTCAATCTGCACATGTATAAAAAGATATAAATTTAGCTACCACTAAGATTTAAAAAAATATAGTAAATATAGTATTAGTGCATATGCATTACATCAACCGAAGGCCAAGCTACACATTTGTGAAGTGCATCTCCAATTGTTTTGACACCTTCAAGAGCTTTCACCAAATTTTGACGAGGCTTTATCGCTTTCGTAATACGAACTTCCCAAAATTCTGGCCCCAATCGTTGTCCACCTACTTCTTTGGATGGGTCCTTAGAAATAACTATGCCAATTGCCACAACTTGTTTTGGCAATTTAGAAGTAAGTAATTCTACTTCTTGTCCAACCTTCAAAAAAAATTAATGTGTAAATGTTGTGTATGAAAGAAATCACATTAAAGTATTTAGGATTAAATACACTTTACCCCCTTCTAGTTTAGCTCAAAAACAAAAGAAAATAACGTTTGCATTTTACTCCATACCAGAGATGTGTATATTTTTAAACTATAGGGAGGTAATAATGTGTTTTCTAACTAGCCCAAAAATTTAACTAGTATTCCTTGAAGAAATAGAACTAATAATAATGTTTATGAAAAAATTTAATAACTATGTTTAAATACTCATTATGCATAAACATTGTCTTACTTCATGTGATGGAACCATTAGCTCTTCATTCAACTGGTGAGAATTAGAGGCATCTAGAACCTATTGCATATTGAATGATGGTCTGGAACCATTCTGTTTAAACATAACCATATAATCATCTAACTTTACAATATCCAATTTATTATAGTAAAACATACTTAAATTAAACTAGGATTAAATACACATTACCCCTTCAATATGTGAAGTCATTGATGGTGATTGAGGCATTGGATATCCCATAGTTTCCACATGAGCTTGCATTTTGTCACACTTGCGCTCTAACTGAGTAAACCTTTCACCCCACTCAGCTAATAATTCCTGTCGCACCTCTTCTCGTACCTTTGTGCGCAATTTATCCATGTCTATACGTTGTCGAGGTCCAGAATATCTTGTCCCAAACACCTGAGATGGGCAAGGTCCCAATCCATAGGTACGTACACGACCATGCCCATCTACTCCGAAGACCTCAGTGAATAGTTCCTCTCGAAATTTTTCAGTTTGTAAGGACTCGGGCACTTGAGACAATCCCTCTTTCAAATGAGACTAAAATATAAGAAAAAAAATTTATTAGAACATGACTAGGTAAATAATTAATCGTAAACATTGATCACATTATTACACATACAATGGCTACATCTGATGCCTCATCAACTGGATCTCCATTCTTCTTTGTGTGTGTCTTTATGTAGACCATTATCCGATCGGGTTGCACCTTATCTCTTTTATACATCTTCATTATTAGGAACAATAAATACATATTACAACTTTACCAAATACAATGCATATTGAGAAAAAATTGTTAACTTATCATTTACCTCATCCTTTACCCGACAATGGGCCTTTCTCTCACTTGTATGGGACATTGTCAATTTTTTTCGATTGTCACTGTTAATTGTACTGCGTTCCTGTCACAACAAATAGATTTCAAGATTTGGTACAAGCATAGCCAAAGACTTTATTGACCATAACCGGAATAACAACTACAATAAGTCATTATCAGGTCATAAAAAACAGAATTCTAAGGTAAAAAAATTATAGAGTGCAACAATTAATACCTGTGCCTCTAGACTATTCCAAAATTCAACGAGAATCTTCCATTGACTAGGATCCACCCTATCGGGACAATTTACTAAGCGTTCTTCATTAGTTTTGTACTTGTTGAAGTGCTTTCTTTTCAGTTGGTCTTTCCAGTCTTTCCATTTCTTTCCAACTGACATCAAGCAATTATACTTGAAAATATCTGGTGCATCAGTGTTGTCCTATATATATAACGAGATATCAAACAAATATATTTGTTGTTAGGTTTTATGTCTTGGCAAACCCGTTTGACAAAACTCCTTTGAATTGTAATTTTATTCGCATTTTTATTTCAGTGAGACTTTGAGTGTTTAGATGCGAATCCAACCCGAATCAAGCCTTTCAGAGAAGTTTGTGTTGATAAAGCTTTCAAGATTGCCACTTCGCTGATTATGACGGGGATCGAGCTGCCTGTTCGATCATGTTATTTTTTCCAGTTTTTCCAAGTTTTGGCCTTTCCGCTCGAGCGGGGAAAGGGACGCTCGAGCGGGGATTGGAAGCTCTCAGCATCTCTGCAGTTGCCTGTAAAAATATTGGAAGGTGTGATTTTACGCTCGAGCGGATTCTCCTACGCTCGAGCGCATCTCAGTTTGTTCGCACGCAGTTTTTGGTCAGTCCGCTCGAGCGGGCTGTGTTGAGCTCGAGCGGAGATCGCGGGACAGATTCTATAAATTCGCGTATTGGGTCAGATTTTAGATTTGATTAAAGAGTTGGTTTTCTTCTGAAATTAGGATTGCTTTGGTTTTCTATAAATAATTGGTTTTCTCCCAACACTAGGGGAACTTCTCCAGATCTTATTTTTGGATCTTAAGGTTTATATCTGGAGAGATTTTGGTAGTTTACTTTGATATTTTTTGAGTTTTCAACTCATGATTTAAAGAGAGTACATCAAAGGTTTGTTTGTTATACACAAAAGAGAGAGTTGTTCTTCAGTTGTGGATTCTGAAGAGTTCGAGCCTGAAGCTTTGGTGGAATCCGGAGTGGCTCATCAGAAAGACAATTTCGTGGTGAAGATGGGGTTGGAAGAGGCACATAAAGGTTGGTTCAATTAGGCGTTGTGGATTCGCTAGGTAATTGAGAGTATACCTGTGTAATTCCTTTAATTCTTCTTAGTGGATTGTCTTGTGGCTGTTGCCCGTGATTTTTTTATCACAGTTGGAGGTGTCCAATTGTGGTTTTTTTTCCACGTTAAATTGCTGTGTCTCTTTGTCTTGATTGTTTGATTGTTTGATTGGGATTGTTATATTCTGCTTAAAATTGATACATAATCACAAATCAACATCTAGGGGATTTCTAGATTTTTCATTTGTTAATTAAAGTATGAGTACGAGAATAAGATTTATATAGTACTTGCATTTTCATACCTTAACTTCCAGCCATATACGTTCTTTATAGGGGTTTAACTGTGGAGCTCTCCAATCATTGAAAGTTAATGGTGCAAAATTCCTATTCCGGGCTAGAATGCCTAACTGACTTTGTAATTTTGCAGCTTCATCGCCAATAGGTTGATTCTCTTCATTTAATGTAACCTTTAACTTTTGTCCCGTGCCCCATCTAGTAAAAGGACGACCAGGCCCTCTTGTCTGTCTAATTGTTGATTGACCCGTGCTGGTAGCTATTGAAACTTTTATAAAATAGGCATAAAAGATAGCAAAAATTAAGTAAACATGTGAATTTCAGCTCAAGGTTCCAATTCATAGCGTAGCATGTAATGGTAATTGCTCTATATTTGATGGCTATTCAAATTAAATTACCTGCTCCACTTGATGACTGCAATTCATGATTACTTTGTTGGGAAGAGCTCACGGTTGGAGTCATATTGTTGCAAAGAGGTTGTAGTGGTTGCGACTGTGATTCTGACTGCGGTTGTGGTGGAGGCTGGGGCTGAGGATGTGACTGATTAGTAGTAGATGCTGGTTGTGAAACATCAGCCATGGAGCCAGCTGTCCAACGGGGTTGCTTTCGTTTCATAGTCATTTGAAAAAAAACAAAACAAAAATGTATTTGAACACTTGTTACTTGGATGCAAGGATGTACAAATAAGCATGAAATTATGTATGCAAACTTATGTGTTACAAACTTAAGTATGAAATTATATATGCAAACTTATGCAAGGATGCAAGGTTGTAGTGCCTGCGGTTGTGGCTGTGATTGCTGCTGTGCCAGTTGTGGCTGCGACTGAGGCAGTGGCTGATGTTGTGACTGATTAGTAGTAGGTGCTGGTTGTGAAACATTAGCCATGGAGCCAGCTGTCCAACATGGCTTCTTTCGTTTTGTAGTCATCTAAAAAAAAAAAGGAAAAAAAAAACACATTTGAATGCTTATTAGTTAGATGAAAGGATGTGCAAATAACTATGAAATTATATATGCAAACTTAATGCGAGGATGCAAGGTTGTAGTGCCTGCTATTGCGGCTGTGATTCTGGCTGTGGTTGCAACTGCGCCGGTTGTGGCTGAGACTGAGGCTGTGGTTGATGTTGTGACTGATTAGTAGTAGGTGCTGGTTGTGAAACATTAGCCATGGAGCCAGCTATCCAACATGGCTGCTTTCGTTTTGTAGTCATCTAACAAAAAAAAAAATGCATTTGAATGCTTATTAGTTAGATAAAAGAATGTGCAAATAAGTATGAAATTATATATGCAAACTAATGCAAGGATGCAAGGTTGTAGTGCCTGCTATTGCGGCTGTGATTCTGGCTGTGGTTGCAACTGCGCCGGTTGTGGCTGAGACTGAGGCTGTGGTTGATGTTGTGACTGATTAGTAGTAGGTGCTGGTTGTGAAACATTAGCCATGGAGCCAGCTGTCCAACAAGGCTGCTTTCGTTTCGTAGTCATCTAAAAAAAAAAAGAAAAAAAAAAAAAACCTATTGCATCTTTCCGAAACTTATGCCCTTCATCTAAGAACCGATCATCTAGATGTTGACTAGAATATGGCTCAACTTGCGGACATGTTATTGCATCTTCAAAAGATTCCCTTCCGCGCATATCATTCAAATCCCTGGGTGTCATCTTCACAACTATATGCCAATCTTTCTCAATAGGGTCTTGTATATACCAAACTTGTTGTGCTTGGGATGCAAAGATGAATGGTTCATCTGACATTCGATTTTGTTGATACAAAAGATGCTTAAAATTCACAAGTGTGAACTTGAACTCATCTTGCCTCTTCCCCACATTGTTATCAACCCAATTACATTTGAATAACACAAACTTGAAGTCATTAGAATATCTCAACTCAATTATATCAGTCAAAACCCCATAGAAAGTAACTTCTCCACTAATTGGTCGTCTATCTCTTGAACTTGCATAACTTTGTGTATATGCAGTCAATGACACTCCACTATTTTGAGTTTTTCTACTCTCCTCACGTTGTTTAGTGTGAAACCTAAACCCATTTATAATATACCCACTGTATCTTCTTGCCCAATTGTCTGGTGCTAGGGACAAAATTTTTACTTCATCTGAGATGTTTGCATTTTCAGTTTGTTTCAAGTGTTGAACCTACATTTTAATCCAATGTATTAGAAATCACATATCAAAGATACCATTATATATACATATACCATTATTTTAATCCAATGTTTGCATGTATGACTTACGTGCTCTCTAAACCAAAGAGGAAATTGTTCGTTGTGCTTTCTCATAAGATCACGCTCACTTAAACGATGTCTATCAGCTTTAAGCACTTGAATGTGTTTCCTGCATGATTGAGAATAGGTATAGGATATTAAATATGTTATTTAATTGACTAGAAATTGAATATTTAATTTAGTAGATTTCTTACTCTCGGAATGGAGTGACTACATTAGAGTTGGCTAGCACATATCTATGTGCTTGTTCCCATGCAGTTTTATCAAGTGGGAATAATTTCCCTTTCCCTGAAGAACGTCCCCTTTGTTGACCCTCATAATTTCGTATCGGCCGATTTAATTTTGTCTCAACATCATGCAAATATCGACTACAAAATGTCAAACACTCTTCTGCTAAATACCTTTCTGCAATGGAACCCTCTAGATGGTTTCGATTATGCATGTACTTTTTAAGTGTAAGCAAATACCTATGAAAAAATAAAATTTATTTAGTTAGAAGATAAGCTTGATCATCGCACGTCATTTATATGTACCTAAAATTGAAAAATTAATGCATACCTCTCAATAGCATACATCCATCGGTAATGCACTGGTCCAGCAAGTCTTGCCTCTTCTGCTAAATGAACAGGCAAATGCTCCATGATATCAAAGAAGGAAGGTGGAAAAATTTTCTCAAGATGGCAAAGAGTCAATCTAATTTTCTCTTCAAGATGACCACAATCATTTGGATGTATTGCTTTTGAACATAACTGTCTAAAAAAAGTACCTAATTCAATCAAGGTTTCACAAACATTCTTAGGCAGTGTCCTTCTCACAGCTAGAGGCAACAGTTGTTGCATTAGAATATGGCAATCATGGCTCTTAAGCCCTGAAATAGTTCTCTCTTTGAGTTGTACACGGCGTGAAATACTTGACGAGTATCCATCCGGGACTTTCACATTTTTTAGCACCTTGCAAAATATTTCTTTGTGCTCTTTATTCATTGTGAAACAAGCTGCAGGTAAAAAAACTTTACCATTTGGCCGTTGTTGAGGGTGAAGAGCTTTACGAAGTCCCATCTCTTGAAGGTCACGACGAGCTTTTAGACTATCCTTTGTTTTTCCCACAACATTCAATAGGGTCCAAAGTATATTTTCACACACATTTTTCTCAATGTGCATAACATCAAGATTGTGTCGAATTAAATTGTCCTTCCAATATGGTAATTGCAAAAAATAGTTTTCTTTCTCCAATTATATTCTTCCCTCAAGGTTTTATGAATGCCTCTCCCATCCTCAACAATTTTTCTTTTTTTAGACACATGTGTCTTTTCATTTCCATCACCCTTCCCATATTTGTTCTCAATGAATTCTATTTGTTTGAAAATATCATCACCGGATAATTGAGGTGGCATTTTCTTTGTTTCAACACTTCCATCAAAACCTATTGCATCTTTCCGAAACTTATGCCCTTCATCTAAGAACCGTCTATGGCCCATATAACAATACTTTCGACTATGTTTTAACCATCTAGAATGGGTATCTTTATTACAAGACGGACAAGCCAATGCTCCTTTTGTACTCCATCCAGATAAATTAGCATATGCAGGAAAATCACTTATGGTCCACAACAAAGCTGCACGCATATGAAACATCTGGTTGCTTGATGCATCATAAGTAAGTATGCCATCCGTCCATAATTCCTTTAACTCGTCAATTAAAGGTTGCAAATACACATCAATATCATTTCCAGGACCACGAGGCCCATCAATAAGCAAAGATAACATGAAATATGGTTGCTTCATGCATAACCAAGGAGGCAAGTTATATGACATCATCACAACAGGCCACATGCTATGAGCAATGCTCATTGTCCTAAATGGGTTAAAACCATCAGATGCTAATCCAAGTCTGACATTTCGACTGTCACTAGCAAAATCTTGATTTTTTTCATCAAAAGTTTTCCATGCAAGTGAATCAGCTGGATGTCTCAATATCCCATCATCGATGCGTTCATTTGCATGCCATGTCATGAGTGATGCTGTTTTTGTTGACATGAATAGCCTTTGGAGCCTTGGCTTTAAAGGAAAATGCCTTACTTGTTTGGCAGGAATTTGGGTTACTTTAGGGGTTCCATCCTCTAAACGAAAGTTCGATTCATTATATCTTGATCTCCCACAAATTTCACATTTATCAAGCATTTTTTTTGTCTTTCCAAAACAACATACAATCCTTAGGACAAGCATCATACTTTGTGTAACTAAAGCCTAAGGCTTCATTGAACTTCTTTGCTTCATAGTATGAGTCCGACAATGTTTCACCGTCGGGAAATGCCTCCTTCAACAACTCAAGCAACATATCAAATGATGTATCAGTCCATCCATTAAGTACCTTTATGTGCAACAATCGAACAACAAAAGAAAGAGTTGTGAACCTCTTGCAACTTGGGTACAACTCACGTTGTGTATCTTCTAATAGTTTAAAAAATTTCTTTGTCTCCTCATTAGGCCCCAATCCCATATTTTCATGTGTTTGATTTTCAGTAAAGACACCATCTTCCATTGGAACTCGAAATGTGTCATGTACCAAACCAATCATATCATCAATTACGTCGAATTCTTGATTTTCATTCACTTCATTTCTACCACATGGAGCCAAGGCCTCCCCATGAATTGTCCATCTTATGTAGTTAGTGTTAAACCCATTTATGATGATATGCTCTCTTACGCCATTCCGTGTCTCATATCTAAGGTTAACACATTTCTTACACGGACAATATATCTTCGACTCTAAAGGCTTATTAGCATAAGCAAACTCAATAAACTTTTCAACCCCTTCCACATATGTAGGGTCTAACCTATTTTTTTATATGAATCCAATCCTTATCCATACCAATTATCTTCAAGATTACCTGAAATTTTATATGTAAACACGTATATAACAAAGAAATCAAAAAGTATGAGTGAACATATAATTAGCATGATTATATACAATAAAGAAATTCAAAAAAAAAAGAAGGTGCAAGTTTGAATGTAAACATATGGAATCATTTGCCTTAGTTAGTTGGATTGCTGAGTGTCTTCAAATAACTTATTTTGATACATATCAACACAAAAAGAAAGAATCATAAATATAGGACAGTTGGCATCTTAATTCCAAGAAGTCTTTGTTTAAGGACAGAATTTTTTCAAGGATTGCATGTTTAAGGACAAAATTTGTTTCAATGTTTATGATACAATGTTTAAGGACAAAACAGCTGAATTCTAAATTTGTGAGAGATGTATAAGAACAAAATTTGTTTAAGAAGTCCTTGAAAATTCTGTATACAGAATTGTCCTTAAAAATTCTGAATTTTCTGAATTTTTTAAAACTTCAGTTTAAACATAATTTTTAAACTTCTGAA